CTTTAATATTTCCCTTTCCCCCTTTAATATTTCCCTTTCCCCCTTTATTATTTCCTTTCCCCCCTTTATTATTTCCCTTTTCCCAGGAGTTTTTAAGGAGGAAATGCTTTGTATCTGAAGATTGAAACAAATGTGACCAGACTTTTTCTTCCTGTGAGAGGAAGAAATCTTGGTTTCTTTTTTCCTTCTGGGACTTCTGGTGTGGGACAAAAAGTTCTCAGCATTTTTATGGCCGGAGCTGTTGATAAATCCATCCACCTAATAATAAGAATAGTAAAAATAATAATAATAAAAATAATAATAACCACCAAATCAATATGATTTTAGCAGGAGTTGAGTCATTTCTGTGTGAAGAACAGTGTGCTCAGGTGGGGTTAAGATGTCCTTCTGTGACTTCCCCGTGTGATAGATCATTAAAATGGGAAAATTGCCTTAAAATTACTTCCAGGGTGTGATTTCCTCAGTGGATTCTGGTTTGGGATTTAAATCCTGTATCCAGTTGGAAGAGCAGAGCTGGAGGCTCTTCACAAATCCCTGTCTGAGCCTTTCCATATCTGGGCCTTCAACCACCCCGTGTCTCTCACCAGAAGGGATTAAATGCATCTCTTACTTTCTTTTATGATTTTTTTTCCCCTTTTTTAAGGATTATGGGAGACTTGGAACTTAAATCACCTGGCATTTGGTACAAGGGAGGAGTTTTCCTCAGTAGAATCCTGGAATCATTCAGGTTGGAAAAGCCCTCCAAGGCCATCCAGTCCAACCATCCCCCCAGCACTGCCAAGGCCACTAATCCATGTCCCCAAGTGCCACATCCACAGGGATTTTTAGATCCCTTCAGGGATGGGGATTCCTCCCCTGCCCTGGGCAACTGTGCCAGGGCTGGACAACTCTTCCCATGAAGAAATTTTCCCTATTACCCAATCTAAACCTTCCCTGGTGCAACTTGAGGCCGTTCCCTCTCCTCCTGTCCCTTGTTCCCTGGGAGCAGAGCCCGACTCTCCCCGGCTCCAACCTCTTTTCCCTGTTTAACTGGGCTCTGGATAACTTCTTGTACTTGAAACTATTAGGACCTTCCTAACCAGTAGTGGGAAACAAACTTATCCATAGTGTGTGTGCTTTGCCATTTTCCAGAAGGATATTTTGGAATTACTTCCCCCCTCCAGCCCTCCTGTTTTATTCAGGGGTGGTTTTATAACCCAAGTGTTCATTTGGACATTCAAGCACCACTGTGTCATTTATCCAAGAACATTTATTTCAAATCTAGTCTAAGAATTTATTTAAAAAGAAGTGATTTAAGTCAAGTTCTGTAGTTTCTTTGATATTCATCCAAAACAGTGTAAGAGGTTTCTTTCAGTAGAACATTTCTCATGGAAGTCTGAGCTCAAATCTCCTTCTAAAAACGAGGGAAAATTCCAATATTTGAATTCTTCCCTCTCTCTTTCCTAACCCTTTTAGTACAAGAAAAATTAGTCTTCGCTGATGCAGTAAATGAATTAATGAATGTCCTGTGCCTTTGTAGGTAAATTGTTGCCAGCATTTGAGGTGGTGCCAACGGGTTTTGACTCCGACACTTCCGCTCTCAGCATTTCCATTCCCATGGAGTCGGAGGTTGGCTCTGATGTTCTGTCACCCCAGGAGCTCTCTCCCAACTTCCCAAAATTTTTTGGAGACAACCCAGCGAGCCAGTGCAGTGTGTCGTGCCACCAGCTGGAGGTGGATGCTCCGATTTCCACACAAGATCCAGAGTGTCCTGCTGTCTCCAAACTTGTTGGAGTGAAGCGGGATCCGCCCGACTGCTCTTCTGACACGGAGAGTCCCCTCCTTGTTCCAACCAGTGCTCAGGATCTTGCTAAAAATGAGTCCAAAATTTTGGACAGCAGCCTGCAGAGATGGGCTGCTGGTGTTTTGGCTGGAGTTCAAGATGGAGTGGAAGCTGACAGAGGATCCCAGACCTCCAGTGGGGGAAGTGAGAGAAATAAGGAGCAAGGAAGTGATTCTTTGCTGGGGTCGGGTGTGTTGAAGGACATCCGGGAGCTCCTGGCAAAGGCAGAGGATTTGAGTGCCAGGTGGTGTCATCCTGCCTTTTCCATGGCCTCTTGTAGAGAAACTGGGGAGTCTTCCCTGGTGCTGCTGAGGCAGGAGGATGATCCCAAAGATCCCAGGTCGGCGAAGGACAGAACCCCTCGGTTCCAGAAGAGACCGTCGTGGGATGAGGCTGCGACCCGGCGAAGTGTGCGAGAAGAAGGGTTGGGAATAAACCCTTGGAATTCTGACACGTGTAACTTAAGATGGGAGAACCCTTTGGACGTCAACTTGCGCCGCAGCGAAGGGATGAAGGAAATATCCCAGGAGTTCAGGGCGGGAAAATCGGCGGGAAGGTCGGAGCCGGAGGGTTGTAGCAGCGTCACCACGGACAGGAACCAACGTGCCCTGGTGGGCCTGGCACAGAGCAGCTCCAGCAACGAGGGCAGCACCAGGGCAGCCTCAGAGCTGGGCAATCCTCCTTCCTCAGAGCCCCCTGGAAGCATCACTGATATCCCAGGAGCCTTCCAGAGCACGTCCCAATCTGGTGGAGCTGGAAGCAAAGCCGGCGGCGCCCGGGGCAGCGACGAGAGCAGCAGCGGAGATTCCCTGGCTGCCCGTGTCAGGAACCTCCTGGGGAATCCTCCTCCCTCATCGGAGCATCTCCGTGGCACAGGAGGATTCCAGAGCATCCAGTGTGGAGCTGGTGGTGCCAGGATCAAGGGAGGAGGACTGGAGGGCAGCGGCAGCAGCAGCAGTGGGGATTCCTTGGCTGCCCGTGTCCGGACCCTCCTGAGGAGTGGATCCCCTGGGATAGAGGCAACCCGAATCCTCAGGAATGCAGAGGAGCAGGAGAGGAAAATCCGAGGTCAGGAAACATCTCTGTTGTGTTTTATTTATTGTATTTTATTATGAAAATGACAAATCTTTATTTAGGTTCGTGTTTAAGGGATTGCTTTGATGTGGGTGTGAGGGGATCTGTGTCTGTTCCCCTGATTTTAAAGGTGATTATATCATATTAAACAATAAGTTTTAATAGGACAGGGCTTAAATGATGGATATTTTTTAGTACTTCTATGTAAAATGGGATAGAATTGGGCTTTTCCACTCAGAAAACCTTTTGGCTGACATTGATATTTTATCCACATATTTATTAGGTTAGGAATTCGGGACAGGATTGTGTGAGTGAGTTTTGATTTATGGCTGAGACTACAGGAGGAAGGTCCTGGATCCACCTCTCCAAATAAATGTTCCAAAATCCCATTGTATTCCTGGTCATTTACATTGTAGTTACAAATACATTGTATTCCTGGTCACTCCAGGAGCTCTGGAATTCCACAGTGGGGCTTTGTTCCCTCAGTTGTGGTAACTAGAAATGCACAGCTTTGATTTTAAGTTATCAAACTGTTTTCATTCCACAAAATTAGAAAGAAAAACTCTTCCTCTTTGGTTTTGTGATTTTTTTTTTTTGACAGCCTGGGTGAAGCTGAGACTGGCCAGCAGATCCCAGGAATCTGTGCCAGACTGGGATGAGGAAACCCAGCAAAGAATCGAGGAAATCAAGGCAGAGCTGCTCCTGAGGGCCAAGAAATCTGTGCAGGCCAAGGTACAAAACAACTTTTCCACATTTTCCTGTGGGGTTTTTGAATTGTTTTCCCCAAATATCAGTTGGAATCCTGAGGGAGGAGCTGTCTGGGATGTGGGGAGGGGACACAGAGCTGAGGATGTTCCAAAGGAAGGTCTGGAGGACACAGATGTGTTGGGAAAATCTGTGTTATTGTGAGGAAGTTCCTGCAGATTCTGCTCCTCGAGGAACTCTTTTCCCAAAATATTTATGCAGGTGCTTGGAAACTCCTCCTCCAGGGAAGAGGTGGAGTTGTCCATCCCTGGACAATGGAATATCCTCTGGGCAAGGGGAGTTTTTGTTGTGTTAATTCCTGTGAGATCCTTGGTTTTCAAAGGATCTTCAGGGAAGGAGGGAGGGAATTATTCCTGTTGATCAGAGCGAAGGGACTTTTCCAGTTCCTGTTAGAATCCAAACTCCTCCAAGGTAAGGAAAAATCTGGAATGGTAATCACTGGATGTTCTTAAAAGCTTGGGAAGTGTCTGTAGGATAATCCAATGCTGAACTTCCAGTCTCTTGCAGCTCTGTTTTCCTGGGAAAACCTGCCATGGAATTGTCATGTTTTGTGTATCTCCTTGGGAACATTTCTAGGCCATATATTAACATAAATATCCAGACTGGAATTTTTCTAACCAGCAGTATTTTATCTTCTTTTTTCCCCCTTTAAATATCCTTTTTTTTGGCACTGTCCAGTGGGATTAGGGAAATCCCAGGATTTCCAGGGACTGGTGTTTCAGACAAGTGTCCTGAGCTTTAGGAAGAGCTTCTTTTCTTTTCCCCCCTTTCTGTTTTTTCCCTTTCTGTTTTTTCCCTTTCTGTTTTTTCCCTTTCTGTTTTTTCCCTTTCTTTTTTTTCCCCTTTCTTTTTTTTCCCCTTTCTTTTTTTTCCCCTTTCTTTTTTTTCCCCTTTCTTTTTTTT